TTGATTGGTCAAAATTTGGTAAATCAATCTCTCTCTGAATATAATCTATATCTGTATATGAAAAGCCCTGTCATTTTTTCACAGCCGAAAGTCTCGCCGTAAGTAAACATTACATACAGAATCTTAGCCTTAAATATTCCACTTTTCCAACACACCCCACGAAAACCAACCAATATGGGAAAAGGTTACAATTTTACCCACACAATATATGAAAAGGTATAATTTTTAAGATCTAAATTATATGAATAGGGTGGGGTAACAGAACCCCAGCGACACCCCCTATCAATTAAGTATTGAAGTGCCCCTCCCCCCCCCCCCCCCGGAGGTATTTTACTGCTACAAGATATTTGATTTGCTAATCACGTACCCGTTGATGAGCAGAGAACCATACTTTCAAGCCAGGGGCAGTCTATACTAACAGTTAGTATAGAAAGTCCCTGTAAAAAGGCAGCTGGCAAATCCTCACAGTACTGTAACTTAATGATACATGTATATCAAGTTACAGCACCTCACCCAGCACAGTTAGCACACTGGTGTGTGTCAGTCTTATAATATAAAACTGCGTAGGTTCATATCGTTTGATTCAACGTTTTTTCGGATATTTTTTAGGACCGTTGTCAACTTGACATTGTCAAATCCGACCTGCCACTTTGCAACCTGACCTGCAAAAACATAATTCGACTAAAAACAATGCCAGTCAAAATTGCTTTTTGAGACTGGGCGACTGTTAGTTTTTAAATGTGACCTTGTGACCCTACTTGGAATTCTTCATTCATCGGCGTGTGTCGGTTTGGCTAAAAAGGGGGCATTGGTTTTTTTTCTTGGGACAAAAAATTGTTTCTATCTTTATTAAAAAAAAAAAATAAGACCAATCATAAACTTTTTTTTCAAAACTCAGTGTCGTATTTTATTGTTTTCCCAACAATTTTTAATAAAAGCTTAAAATGTTTGTTTCACTTCCCTCTGACTTCCCTCCTGATTTTTTTTCTCAAGAAATTATAGAATCAGTAAATGGATATATATATATATATGTCTGTGGTCACCGTCATGCAGTTAGATAAGAAATTCCAGCATGCATCATCAAATAATTCATGTGTATTTGTGACATCAACATAACTGAAACATTATATTATTTCCCAGTAATTATGTAAATCATTTTGATTTACAATTATATATGTCTGGGACTTATGCATGTATATATCTCACAGGCAACTTGTCTCAGAAAAACAAATCCTATATACTTTAATAAAAGTATATAGGAAAAAAATTCTGAGACAAGTGCCTGTGATATATCTGTCAGTCCCAGAATAATAAATGTAATTGTATCTTAATCTTTGGAAAAATCCGATTATTAAATTGTTAAATTCTTTTACGTCATAATTATATCAAAGTATACTTTTTAAAGTTTTAAATTTTAAAGTTAAAATGAATATTCCGTTTTGATCTGAGGAAAAACTTTTTAAACTGTAATGACATGGTCAGTCAACTGATATGTTGCATGGGTGATTACAGGTAATTAAAGCATGCAGTAATTTTCCATTAAGACAGTGCGTGTACCCTGGGGTGTGTATAACGTATTAGAAATATCATAGTTTTCTAGAGAACATCCTGTCTATGTGTAATACAGATTGATGACATTACACAAATTTTTTTTCGTTAAATGTAGTTAAGTATCTGTGTCCATTCCCTATTGCAACACTACAATTCTTTCGAAGAAAAAAATGTGAAAATTAAAAAAAAAATCATTTATATAAAATAAAGAAGAAAAAAGTAGCAAATAAACTTATGTAACTACGCATTGAGTAAACATAATTTCACTTTACATGTACAAACCCTTGAGAAAACGTATATATAGATGTATTTAAAAAGGCCAATTCCGAGTGGATTTATTTCACACTAGGACCACAGGCACTTGTGTCAGAATTTTGTTTCCTATATACCTTAATACAGGGACTTTCTATGCTAACTTAGTATAGAAAGTCCCTGCTTAATATAACATTAAAAGTATATAGGGACATTTTTTTTCTGAGACAAGTGCCTGTGACTAGGAACTAAGATAACTAGAACTAAGTTCATTGGAAAGTCTTTTTGTCTGATACATGTATGCCTATAGATAATGTACATAATTAAGAACAAAGAGCTTCAAATATATGCCTATAAATTAACGGTACGTCTAAAAACCGCTCAGGACCTCCTGAGTGCAGACAGGACATAAAAAGTCACTCAGGACATGTATATATGTTTTAGTGAGCGTTGAGGGTAAACATTCGATAGATAATTTAATATTTGATCTTATAATGTTGGTTTTGATAAAATCAAACCAACATTAAAGAAGTTATTTGGGATACGTCATGCATGACCGATGATCATATTCAATACCAATCATCATTTTGATTACGACGTTTGATCTTTAATAATTAGGACTGATTGGTGATGGTTATAAACACATACAAGTAAATTTTGCAAACAAAAAAAAAACCGTTTCCTTGGAAAAATTATAAAAATACATGAATATTGTTTTTACAAAATAAGTTAAATAAATTTTTCGTTTTGTATGTAATAATTGAAGCCATTTAGAAATATAAGAAATCTTCACATAGTCGGGAAATTTTCAATTCAAGTTATTTCATTTGAAAACGTTAACAAATATAGATCTTATTCGATGTAAAATGTGGCGTCCTTAGAGATCAAAACCCCGTTTAAATAGGGTTTGTCTACTTTCGTCTATAGCCGAACATTCTATAATCGAGGATTTCTACAAATCCTTGCTATAATATAATGAATCGCGTCGCCAATATCACCACAATTACTTAAAGTACAAATACAATCTTCTCCTAAATATTTGGCATCTAACAATTACAATAGGAAATTTTGAGTCGAAACTGATGTACCAAATCTACAAAAAGAATCACTATTTTTTGTAGTAGTAGGCGTTGAAAACTAAACTGTTTATAATCTTTTTTTTCTCCTAAATTAATTGAAACTCCTGAAATAATTTAACATTATCTATAGACAGCTTACATATGCAAATCTTTTAGAAGTATGTGAGTGTATAGTACTAATTTGTTCACTAACCCCCCTTTTTCCTTCTATAAAATTACATTGTAATCGATTTTATTTCCACATTTGTGTTTGCTAGGATTGACACTTAGAACGTACAACAAAAAGTAACAAGTAAAAAGTCACGATTCAGTTTTGGGATATTTTTTTCTTTGAATAAACTTAATTTTAAAAACGTTTCAGTATTTTTCTGAAACAATTTTAAAAGGAAACGGACTTGTAAACAAAATTTATTTTTGAATATTAATATGAACAATGATTGTTAAGAAAACAATCTGCCAAAGTGGTTTGGTAATTAACTGAAGTCATGCTGTCAAAAATGTCTCCTTTTTATAAGGGCTTATTCTCATTTCGCCTTAGCTGTCAAAATAATTATATAAAATTAATCCCAGTTTGCCTTAGTACAAATTTTCAGGTACACAAGAATTAACTAAGGCGAAATGGGAGCTGTATTTGTATTGCAATTAGTTGATATTTGTTATTTTGATGTCAAATTCTACCATGAAATACTATTTAAAAGAAGATATTTTTTTTTTGATTTTTTGTGTCCCACTTTTAAAATATTTTTTTTTATAGTTGCTCTTCTTTTTCTGAAATTGTATTTTTTTACTCATGTGTTATATTTTGTAAATAAAGTCTTATTAGATATGACAAATTGGATATGGATGTTTCATATTTTAATGAATAAATAAAGACAAATATCAAACTATCATAACAAATATTTTATTTCTGAATCAGCACTGAATTCAAAGCACAATGTTATAAATAATAGCATGAGAATAAGCACTTATACATAAAACATAAGAATTATTTCCATATAGTTCATATTTTGAAAAACAAGGCACTGATGTACACATTTGAATGTTCAAAGTTCATTTAGTTTCCAAGTTTGAGGATGTAAGATGCTGCATCACCATACTGAATATAGTCAGTTGTACCATTGTGTAGGGTTTCCTTCAAATTGGCGAATCTTTCTTCTATTTCTCTATACTTCTTTGCTTTCCCCCTCATCTTGCCACCTGCTGCATACTGTACTTTCTTTACCTCGTTAGATGCTTGCTCTTTCTTGAACACATTGATAATTTCAAATATGTTTGAAACATGGCTGTCCCAACAAATGCATGAATGGTGAAAATGCTGTCAAACATTGGTGGTGCTGTGTAGAAAGTTCAATCACAGTATACAGTGTCTGCAGTGCACAGTTGTCGTAGATTTTCAGCAGTTGTAAATATGAGTAGCTTGTTGATGTCACCATGGTTCTCTACTTGTGGTCTGGCGAAATTTTCTTTATTATATATAATTAACACAATTAAAAAAATTTTTTTATTATTTTATTTATTTTATTAAAATTTCTGTCATATATGTAAATAAATCTGTGGGAATGTATTTTTTCTCTTTCTTTTTAACTTTTTGTGTTGCACAATGTAAAGGATAATTGAATTATTAAGAATTTTTTAATTGCATAAAATTCATACAATCGAAACTTTTCTTAAATAAAGCATAAAAGAAGCAACTTTCCTACTGACTTATGTTTTATTGTAGATTTTTTTTCTGATTTCACAATTTTTTAAATCATAAAAAGTGTCTTTTTATAAATAAATATTAAAATAATAATCCAAGAGAAAAAAAAATCCCTAATTACATGTTGTTTATATTGTTATAAAAACACAGAGGTTTAATTTGTTTATTTAATTTTTTCATCTAAATTCACATTTCGCCTTAGTACAATTCCCATATCGCCTTAGTATTTATTTTACCTTTTTTACCTGGAATTTCCAGCTAAGGCGAAATGGGAACACACCGTCTATTATTGATAAAAAAAACTATTTGAAGGCGAATTAATCATTTCCTCAACTAAATACATTTATCTATAAATAAAGTCAATTCGTCAAGAACTTTCTCTCATATATTTAAACAATTGTAAAATAATTAATTTAAACCTTTGTCCTGCGACTTTCTGTCCGTTTACCAATACTTATTCCTTGTTAAGTTTTTTCATATCCATTTACGAATACTTATAACGTGATAATTAATTTTTCCGGATGCTTTTTATCCTATTTTCATATCAAACAACCATGTTACCCGTAGAACGGAGTTAAGTACAAATTTAGGAATTTAGTACTTAAAATTTTCAACAACAAAATTTTACACTTTCGTTTACCTGGATTTTTTTCTACGCTTCGAAGCCGCCACCCTGTATCAAACTTATCCAACACCTCGCATGGCGTATTCACGATGTGGAGGGATTGACAATATACAATCAAAGTTAGCAATATACAGCAAGTAAGTAATTGGGTGTTGAATGCCAGTAGATCTGAATTTGTAAATTTTTAAATTAAATTTAACCTGTTAAGAACGTGTATTGTTGAATTGTTCAATAAAATTACACACATAATCTGGGCTGATATGCATAAAACCACTTTAAGTTCAAGGTATCAATAAAACTGGGTCTGCATGAAAAAAAATGACTTATCACATAATACCAGAATCTATGTTTAGCCTACTGTTACACGATAAGAAAATATAGCTGTAGGCCTAGTTGAAAATCTTTACAAATTATTTATTCTTTTAATTTCTGTTTGACTGTCTGGGTGCTTCTTATGTGTTTTAAATGCTATAGTCAAGTTTTATAGACTGTTGTACGTCATTTGGTCGTTTTTAAGTTTTTGCCATGGCGTTTGTCAGTATGTCTTCGACTTATAAGTTTTATCAAGGATTTGTATAGTGAGATTGGTTTTATATAATCTGCATCTCTTGTGCTGTATTTTAAAATGTATTACAATTGCTGCATCTTTACACATCCATCAATACACCAAAAAATATGAATAAAGCTTTCGTATATATATAAATAAGGAGATGTGGTACGATTGGTAATGAAACAACTATCCGCCAGTTCAATTCAAAAACCTGATATAAGCAAATGTGACTTACTTACTTACTTTAGTCAGAGAGATCTTGAATCTGAATTCAAGGATACGAAGTGGGAAGGGTTTAGAGGTGGATTAAGGTGAGGGCATGGGGGCCCGCCCCTTTTTTGGAAAAAAATTGGTTGATTGTTTAGAGAATCACTGAAGCGGGCCCCCTCTTTATGCATGACAGTTAGTGCCTCCTTATGACATTTTTTGGATCCGCAACTGGTGAGGACTTCATAAATAAATATTTAGTAAGTTTTTGTTTTGTGATAAATAATGTATTTAGACAGAAATAGGATAAAATAAACTGCCGAAAGCTTAAGTCCACATAACAGGGTAGAGATGGGGTTAACAGAATAGAGAATAACGGACAAACAATAAAGATTAAAGAATAATGAAATGCTAAAATACGAGGAAAGAGAGTAATGAGCAAAAAGTGTAAGTTTGTAGAAATATAGCAAAAAAAATAATAAAGAACACAGAAAAAGAAGACCCCCCCAATATCCTGACTTCAACTTTAACGCTGCCAGGATATTTTTTAGACAAAGTGCACGTATTAGTAGTCAGCCGAAACCACTAAGCGTTTTGCATCCATACGTTTCTTTTTCGGGATACTGACTGCATAGTAAACTATCAATGTACTAGTTAATGTTCTCGAGGGATGACCCTATTACAGAGACATATATACACATATGTGTAAATATGTCTCTGCCCTATTACGTGTCAGTAACCTCCTCGACACGGTTCATTTTTACGGCGGCTCAGTTTTGTCTAAAGAATAAACATAATTGATAAGTTTCTTTCCCCTGCATTTCTCGATCGCACTTGTAAATCATAGCACATACTTGGTCTCAAGACATTGGTTACAACACTTGCCGTCAGTACGGGGGGTGCTTTCTTGGGAAAAATTTTGTTGATTATATAGGGATCACTGAAGCATGACTGGAGCCGTCCCTCCCTTCTGGATCTGCCACTGTATATTCATAAAATAAACTAACAAATTATCCAAAAGATGAATAATACTTAATACTCACGACTAAGATTGATTATAAGTATACTTGAGTCGGTTTTACAAAAAAAAAAACTTACAATTTATCGTAAGTATACTGTATTGTACATGACTTAATTACTATCAATATTATTTGTAAGTTTTTTTGTGAAACTGACTGCTGAATTGTTTTTCCATGCTTATGGTACATCTAAGTCGTATGCTTTTTTTAAAACCACCTCCAGGGTATAATGTCTGCTCGCCCATAAAATCTGTTTGTAGATATAGGAAGATGTGGTATGAGTGCCAATGAGACAACTCTCCATCCAAGTCACACAATTTATAAAAGTAAACCATTATAGGTCAAGGTATGGTCTTCAACACAGAGCCTAGTTTTTATCAAAAATGAAATATATTGATATTAATAGTATACAGGTTAAATAATTTATTCATACGTTTTTAATTGACTGACTAGAATTATCATGATTATTGAGGAATTTAAACCATTCCTATTTTTAAAAAGGGACAAAAATAAAATTTATATATAATAACAGGGTGATACAAATGAGAAAAACTGAAGAAATTGTTTTCATTTAAGATAAATACATGGTATTCAGTTGTTTTTTAAAGCAGAGGCAGATTTAGTTTAAAGTTGGAAAAAATTGTTTGTACCAACAAAAATAAATACATAAAGTTAATCCAGAATTATGTGTTTATCATTTTTTTTTATGTTTAGGTTGCCAGCAAGATGAAAAGAACAATGCAGTTCAAAAGTCAAAATGTGGATAAGCTGCAGTACAAGGTCCTACTTTTGCAGATTTTCATATTTTGCATGAATGAATTTGAAGTTTATATCATGGAGGGCAGAGAAAGAAAAGAAACACTTCAGTTTTCCTGCTTCTGAAGGATAAATGTAAAACATCTTGTTTGGTAAGTTTTATGCTCTGTTATGATAGTGTTTGTGCATCCATCTGTCTTTCTCTAAATTGTATTCACTTAAAGTTTTTGGTTACAGTTCACCATGAACTTCAGTTAGTAACTTCTGGTTTTACATGTATATACTCAAAATTTAGTACTTTAAAATGTTCATGTATTTTTGTCGAGCCTGCAACTTTTGTCGCAGAAAGCTCGACATAGGGATAGTGATCCGGTGGCGGCCTTGGCGGTGGCGTTAGCACGGGGGGGGGGGGTCTCTTCCTATATTAAGGTATATACATATGTGCCGCTGGAATGGGTCCCTTTTTTGATGCATCAAATATATCAATGGGGTGCAATTTTACCAAGGAAATATATCAATGGGTCATAACTTTTCAGTTTGTTGTGCAACGATATTCACTTAATGGGTTATGATTTTGCTGTGAAATATATGTATAGGTAAGGATTTCACAATTATTCAAAATATGAATGGGGGTGTTTTTTAAATTCCAGCTGCACAACTGTACCCAAAATCCCATGTTGAGACCCCCCCTCCCCCCTCCGTGGGCGTTAGCTAACTTCCTAAAAGCTTTACATTTTAGAAGGTGGAAGACCTGGATGCTTCATACTTTGTATATAGATGCCTCATGATACGAATTCTGTCTGAAACATGTCCATTGTCCTTGACCTCATTTTCATGGTTCAGTGACTACTTGAAAAAAAAGTTCAGATTTTTTGTAATGTTAATTTCTCTCATATTATGAGTAATAGGATAACTATATTTGGTATGTGCGTACCTTGCAAGGTCCTCATGCTCGTCAGAGAGTTTTCACTTGACCTAGACCTCATTTCATGGATCAGTGAACAAGAACTTAGTCTTAGATGCATGATTTTTTTTATTAGTTGTTAGTGGCTTTGTACTAGCTGTCAGTAACTGCGAGTACTCTCTGATCTGTACTTAGTGTCTTTTTGTTGTTTGGATGTACAAGTACCCGGCCACGTCCACTTGTATTTGTAGTATTTGTATTTTTATCCATCTGATGAGTTAAGCCTCTTTCAACTGATTTTTATACGACCGCAAAATTTAAATTTTGCGGTCGTATATTGGTATGACGTTGGCGTCGTCGTCATCCGAAGACACATTGGTTTTCGCACTCTAACTTTAGTTTAAGTGAATGGATCTCTATGAAATTTTACCATAAGGTTCAATACCACAAAAGAAAGGTTGGGATTGATTTTGGGGGTTATGGTACCAACAGTTAAGGAATTAGGGGTCAAAAAGGGGCCAAAAATAAGCATTTTTGTAACTTCCAGACATAACTTGTGTGTTAGTGTATGGATCTCTCTGACATTGTACCACAAAGTTCCATATCACAAAGGGAATGCTGGGATTGATTTTGGGGGGTAATTGCCTCAAAAATTTTGGAATTAGGGGCCAAAAAAGGGGCAAAAAACAAGCATTTTTCTAGTTTCATGACAATAACTTGTGTGTAAGTGTATGGATCTTTCTGAAATTGTACTACAAGGTTTCATATCACAAAGAGAAAGCTGGATTTGAGTTTGGGGGTAATTGCCCAAAACGTTTAGGAAAAAGGGGCCAAAAATAAGCATTTTTCTAGTTTCCAGACAATAACTTGTGTTCAAGTGTATGGATCTCTCTGAAATTGTACTGCAAGGTACCATACCACTAAGGGAAGGCTGGGATTGATTTTGGGGGTAATTGCCTCAAAATTTTAGGAATTAGGGGCCAAAAAGGGGCCAAAAACAAGCATTTTTCTAGTTTCAGGACAATAACTTGTGTGCAAGTGTATTAATCTTTATGAAATTGTACTACAAGGTTCCATATCACAAAGGGAAAGCTGGGTTTGAGTTTGGGGGTAATTGCCGTAAACGTTTAGGAATTTGGGGCCAAAAAGGGACCAAAAAACAAGCATTTTTCTAGTTTCCAGACAATAACTTGTGTTCAAGTGTATGAATCTCTCTGAAATTGTACTGCAAGGTACCATACCACAAAGGGAAGGCTGTTATTGAGTTTTGGGGTGATGAATCATAAGGGGGTTCAAAAAATTTGGGGGGGGGGATTTTTTTTTCCTTTTTTTTTCTTTAAAATTTTCCATTTTAAATTGGTTATTTCTGATTTATATATAAAAGCAAATAATAATGATATGGTTTGAATAGGTAAATTAAAATTTTTTAAGTTCTTAGACCACATTCATTCTTTGTCAGAAACCTATGCTGTGTCAAATATTTAATCACAATCCAAATTCAGAGCTGTATCAAGCTTGAATGTTGTGTCCATACTTGCCCTAACTGTTCAGGGTTCGACCTCTGTGGTCGTATCAAGCTGCGCCCCAGCGGAGCATTTTATTATTGTTCGTTCTTATGTTATACTGTTACACCACTGTCCCAGGTTAGGGGGAGGGTTTGGATCCCGCTAACATGTTTAACCCCGCCACATTCTGTATGTATGTGCCTGTCCCAAGTCAGGAGCCTGTAATTCAGTGTTTGTCGTTTTTTTATGTGTTACATATTTGTTTTTCGTTCATTTTTTGTACATAAATGAGGCCGTTAGTTTTTCGTTTGAATTGTTTTACATTGTCATTTCGGGGCCTTTTATAGCTGACTGTGCGGTATGGGCT